ATGGTAAAAAAATGTGTTACAAAATGTACTATTTTCAAAACTTGAAATCTAATTTTTTCTTATGTCTATACATCTTGATGTCCAGATGATCAATTTGAAAATATTTGAGCATCAAAACAACATCTTCTAATGAAAATTTTGAGGTAGGCTCAAATTTGTTTGTTTAGAACCTCGGCTCTGTATAAAATTTTCTCTCTCTCAATATTATACTGAAATTTTTGAGGTAGACTCAAATTGATCGTTTAGAACCTTGGCTTTGAATAAACTTTCCCATATATATATATATATATATATATATAAAAATGTTCTATCTAAAACCAATAGGAACTAACGGTCTAAACGTGTTCTTACTATTTATTTCTGAAATTATTATTTATAATTTTTAAAATTTAATTATTTTTTCATATTCATGATCTCCATATTAGAGATTACATGACCTTAAAAATTAAATAAAAAATCTAAAAAATAAAGTTATTAATACCCCCGTACTTCTACGTATGCGGGCTTGGCCACATAGAAACCAGGTCCATATTTATCCAATATCGTCATATTCATAAAACTATGAGGGTAATTTAGTCTATTTGAATAATAAGTTTGAACACGCATCGTAAGCAATCGGTTCTTTCACAGACTATATAAGAGCAGTCAATGGAGGTGAGAGATTCTTTTTCTTGCAGTCTTTTTCCTGGTCCGCTGAAAACCCTAAAGCTTTCGAGCCATTTTTGCCCTAATTTACAGTCTCCTTTTCTCCTCGAAGTTTTCAATCGTAACCCTAATTTATGTTATAGCGCCTGCTTCTGCATGCATTGCGGGGTTCCATGGATCTGGTCGCAATGCTGGTTGTGATTCATGATGGTCGGGCTTGGTTCAGTTTCTAGCGTTTCTGCTCAAGTTCAGTGAAAGAGGTAAGGAAATGAAGTTGTAGTGCGAAGAGTGTGACATGGAGTTTATTTGTGTTTTTTTTGGGTTTGGAGGAGCGATCATTGTTGTAAAAGGGTTATAATACCAAGGTTCTGTTACTTTGTGATTTTGTGCAGTTTGAAAAGAAATTAGGGTGTTTGATATGCCAATGGAGAAACTCTCTCTACCATAAAAAAAAGAAAAGAAAAGAAATGGAGAAATGCTGGTTTAAGCTCTGCATCTGAACTTGTGGATATCAGACTTATTCTTAATATTGAGTGAAATTTTGTAAGTTTTTTTCAGGCATTAAATGGTAAGGAGGGATGCATCTTAAGATTTTGGTGTGAAGGTGGGTGTGAAGGAGAAGAATTCGATTTCCATCAGAGAAACAGGCTTACCTTCTGAAGTGGACAAATGCACATATTTCAGGGCTTACAAGAAGCCCCCAAGCTAAGAAAGTGCAAGTGCTGGAAAATCCTAAGCGTTGTTATTCATCAGGGAAACGCCCTTATCATTCTCCATCTTTAAGGTCATTGTGCTTTAGATTCCAAAATAAAAAACGAGGAAAGTTTAAGTGTTTTACACAGTGAAGGAGAATTTTCCCAGTCAACACTTTCCTGTAAAGTTTACGCTTAGTCATTACAATGGAGAAGGATAAATCGCCTTCTCCAAGTGGGCTTCCTCCTCCCCCCTCAGGTCGCTATGCCGCCTTCCCATCACCAACCAATGCCTTCACTGTAAAACGTGAGTCCTCACCTGCTCCCGCTCCTTCTCCTGCCTCTCAAATTTCCCCATCGCTTTCTCCTTCAAGATCTGATACCCAAATGCCCGATTCCACTGGTTTCAGTCATGACATTAACCGAATGTCCGAATTCCCGCCCAGGGCTCGTGGGCATCGACGAGCGCATTCTGAAATTGCAGTTAGGCTGCCTGATGATATTGTCTTCGATCGAGCATTGGGTCCTGATTGCCCTGCTTTGTCTGATGAAACTGACGAGGATTTCTTTTCAATGTATATTGATATGGAGAAGTTTGGGGCAGCTGAGTTAACTGGGGGGCCTATTCAAGGGGAGGCCGAGAGCTCAGAGAGAATGAGACCGAGGCATCAGCATAGCCAATCGATGGATGGGTCGACGACGAGCTCGATCAAGCCGGAGGCCTTGGTGGGTTCAGAGGGGCCTTCGCTTGCAGAAACCAAGAAGGCCATGTCAGCTGCCAAGCTTGCCGATCTTGCTCTTCTTGACCCTAAGCGTGCAAAGAGGTATGTGATGTTGGCCTTTAAGCCACTTTCTTGATTGTTGCTTGGATTGAGAAATTAATGTGGCTCTGTTCGTGTAGATTGTTCAAATATTACATACATTGCTTGCATTATCCTTGGAAGTAAGAATATATGCGGTGAATCATCAGTGTGAATAATTTCTGACGCCATCTTATTAGATGGATATATCATGTTTCGATGATACTTTGCTAGCTTTTTTATCTTTTGTGTTTCTCATACAAGAAATATGTATTCCTTTCATTCTTGTAGTCCTGTGCATTTTGTTCTCATTTAAATTAAACAATTGTTTACTCTCCTTTGCATTCTTTCAGAACTTCCATATGAAGCATTTTTGGAGGATATCATTGGCTAAGTAGATAATGTGAAGTTCTGTTTTTTGTTTACATGTCTAGCATTGTTTTAAAACGTCTAGTTGACTTTGGACTATTCAACTTGCCCTTGGACCCTATTGAGTCATGTGTAAATAATAATTCCATGAAACTTGCCTAAGTGTGACACTCATGTACCACTCTAATGCATTTTTACAATAGACGGGCCGAGCTGAGTTGACCTGCCTGACTCAGGCTTCGGACCTTAGAGTGTCCTGACCTGAGTCCGGGGTTTAAAACTCTGGTATCTAGATGCGTGTGCGTGTGCGTGTGTGTGTGTGTGGGCATGTGCGTGTCCATGTCTTTGTGTCTGTGTGTGGGGCTTGGTTCATATAATAGGTGGCATGTGTTAGTGGCTCTGAGAGATATATTCGTTAGTGGGGCTCCTCACATTTGATTTCCACCTTCCATGTCATACTCTGGCTTGAACCTGCCCTGCCGTAGTTATTTGCAATGGATGGGTGGAAAATAAGTGTGGGTTAGAAAGTTAATCATAATCTTTGATTTAATTGTTCCTTTTATTATTTATTGTTATTGTTTTGTTGTCTCCAATTAGGAATGTAGTTATTTATTATTGTGGAGAATTGTTCTGTAATTAACGTAATGCCACGACTATTGCCTGGAAAGAAAATCTATTAAGTCTAATTCTATAAAAAAAAAAGGAATTTTCATGATTCTATCACATGATGTTAGCCATAAGGACATTATTTGAAAATTTTGGATTTTGTAAATGTCTAGGTCATTGTTGGAAAAATCACCCGTTCTAACCGGTAACCACCCGGTTAGATTATTTAAATATATATATATATATATATAAAATCCCCAAAAAAAGGGATTTTATTTGTATTGTATTTTTAATGTTTTTCATAATTATAGCAAAAATTGGAAATTGTATTGGCCATTTTTAATGTTTTTTGGAAATTGTTTTGGCCATTAACGTATATTTTTACATTTTTCCATCTTTTTTAGAAAATTTCAGAAATACATTTGAGCACAAATCGATTCTTTAAAATTCATTTTTTTTTAATAAATTTTCAACTTCATTTGGATGTGCTTTGTCTAATCATTCTTTAAATATACTTTTCATAATTTAGTAGATTTTTTTTTGTATTTTTTATTTTGTTTAACACTTTTTTGACCGCCCGGGACTTCCCTAGTTAGAACAGTTGAACCGGCCGGTTTACCGGTTAGGCCGGTTGAATCATTTTCAGACCCATGTCTGGTTAACCGTTCCGATTTGATTTTTCCAACACTGGTCTAGGTGAGTCAGTAATATAAATTGTTGACTGATCACCGAGTGCTTTTTGTCAATGGTTACGAACGTCCTCCTCGATTCTCAGTTTCACACCATCACCATATTGTCTAATAGTCGATGGAATTTGGTCAGTTAACTTTAAGTGACTTATGTTTATAATAGACCACAGGGAGCAGTAAATCTTGGTCAAACTAAGTGGTCATTTGAAGTCCATCCATATTGTTTAATAGTTGATGGAATTTGGTCAATGAACTTTAAGTGACTTATGTTTATATTAGACACAGGGAGCAGGAAGTCTTGGTCAGACTAACTGGTTATTTGAAGTCCATGTTTTCAGACAATGCTATATCTTGCATATGCATTTAAGATGAAAGGCAAGTGTAGTCAAAGTGCCTTGATGGGACTTGCAAATGCTAGGCAGGAATCTGAGATTCCAGGCAGCCAGTATTATCAATATTAAAATTAAAAACATAATTATGTTAAATATTTTTATGCATGTCTATATGTATGGACGTATAAATGCATATACATGCTATAGTTTTGTTTTTCTTTATTCCTTTTTTTTTTTAAACTGTGCACAATATATTACTCCCTTATAAGGTATACCATGCTCTAGATTTGTTATTTGATTATATATGAATAATGTAGTCTGCATTGGTCACTGATAGAAAATTGATCATATGACATGATTATTTTAACAGTCAATACTAGTTAGCATGGATAAATATGAAATCTTTAATTCAGAGAAGACTCGCAAGTAAATCAATTTACATTGCTTAGGACAGAAAAATGCAACCTTGTTTTTACGTAATAACGATGTTACTAGCTTGGGTTCAGGGAGTTCATTTAATTCCCATCTGTAGTAATGCAACATGGAGTATGTTTGGGAACTTGGCACTCCTTGGTTGAAGTCGGCCAACTCGGCTGTTTTAAAATGTGAGTGCAAGTATTGTGGTTTTTGTTATTGTTGTTGTTTAAAGTCAATTTCAATTCTAAACTTCTTGTAACCTCCTGGGTTGATTTTGAGATATGCCCAACTCTCATGCCATCTTGGTTAAACTGGGCCAGGAGTAAAGTTTAACCAAAAAAACTTCTGAAGTGTCACTTCTATGATCTTTGAGTTGAATACACTTGCACGCTCACATGCACGCACCCACACTCACACATCTATTTAAATATCTATCAATGATGTTAAGACTGGACCCAATTGGCCAGTTCAAACCGGTAACCTGTAGGGTCTTGTATACTCTCTGGACTGGATGGTCCAGTGAACTGGTGCTGGACAGGTGGACTGGTCGGTCTTCCGTCCAGCACCAATCCAGCTAATCCCGAGGGAGCATATTTTTATGAAAATGGCCCTCTTTTTCTTTTGAAATGAGGGCCAAAATTTGTCCCTTTATGGGGTTTTCTCATCCTTTATAAACTGTATTGTGGCATTTTGGTCTTTTTCTTATATTTGGGATGATTTTGGAGTTAAAAATAGATTTTTCAGAGAGAGAGGTAGATCTAATTTGGTGATTCTCTCTCTCTCTCTCTAGCTGAAACCCCCTTTAATTGGCAAAATGCTGACAACTTTCGGAGAGGATTTGGTCATCATTCAGCCCTATTTCAGGCCTCAACTGAGTTTGTTAAATCCTTTTTTTGATTTCTTTGTTTTATTTTTGGGAAAAAAGAAAATATTATATTTTCACTCTTTTGCAATAAATGATATGTTTTTTAAACAAATCAATGCAATCAGTTATTTCTTGTATTCACTTTAATGGTTGCTTGTGCTTTAATGAGATTATTGTTGTTGTTTTTTGCTTGTTTGGTAGCTTATGTGCCTTTTTTCCCCCCAATTTTTTATATAGATATTATTTTTGTGGTTTTATGCTTTTATTTACTCTTTATTTTATTTTTGGTTATTTAACACTTCAATAGTTAAGTGGAACTATGGAGAATATTGAAAGATGTTTTTTTGCAGTTTCCTTGTGCATGTTCATTTTTTAAATTGATATAAAAATTAATTTTATTGTCTACTTTGTTAGTTTTTTAATTACAAAATGCCTCTATGGAAAATAATGAACCATGGAAATTGTTCCATAGTTTAAGGTTTTTCTTTTTTTTTGTATTTTTAGTTTTTAGAAAAGTTTTTTTCTATACTTTGAGTAAATGATTTGGATTTTACACAACTCCACTAGTCCACGTTACAAGTTTAACACTCCACAATCCAGATCCCATAGGCCTTAAACCTTTTGTTTTGCCTTCAATAGTTCAATCTCACTGTTATCTTCATGGTTTGTGACTTAATAGGTTATTGGAGAGTATCACATATTATGGTGTTTGTTATTTGATTTTTGTTCCCAATAACTTTTTGGATTTTCTGACTTTTATATATTTTTTCCATAATTTTCCTTACTTTCCTCATTTTCTGTTATTTTTTATTTATTTGACGAGTTTCACTGCTGAACAAGTCCTGTCTGACCAGACATTGTCCCTGAACCGGTTCATCCACCAGTCTAGTCTTAATGAATTTGATATCAATATATAAAAATATACATGCATGCACACAAATACATATGCACACACACTCTCTCTCTCTCATGCACAGGTATGAGAGAGAGAGAGAGGGTCATGGTCCCTGAACCGGTTCATCCACCAGTCTAGTCTTAATGAATTTGATATCAATATATAAACATATACATGCATGTACACAAATACATATGCACACACAGTCTCTCTCTCTCATGCACAGGTATGAGAGAGAGAGAGAGAGGGTTTTGATAAGCCCCTTGGCTAATTTTGTACGAGTTCGCCCAAGGGCCACACCCTAGCCAGGAGTGTTTTTTTTTGAGAGAAATTGTTGATGTGGTATTAAATTTAAAGAGTATTGCAAAATTTAGTACCCCTTTACAGATAGGGACAGTTAGTAGAAGGCAATATAGACAGGGTTTGTGCCAAAAGCCTTCAGTCATTCTTTTTCAGCTCTATTATCAATCTAAATAAAAAATGATTTGGAGATTAAAAAGTGCTCCTAATTTGTCACTCCAAGGATGGCTCTAGAGTTTAAGAGTGTTCCTTTTCATGGATGCTTTCATAATTATCATTTTGAATCTGTGCAGAATCTGGGCAAATAGACAATCAGCTGCAAGATCAAAGGAGAGGAAGATGCGGTACATAGCAGAGCTAGAACGGAAGGTCCAGACGTTGCAAACAGAAGCGACCACTCTGTCTGCTCAGTTGACTATGTTACAGGTATATTCTTCCTCTACCCATCTTAGGCATATTGCAGCACCTATAAACTCCAAGAGTAACAGTCACCTGTAACTGCTGATAGCTTCTATTCTATGTTGTAGATGAGTGCTAAATAATTTGAATACCTGTACTGCTGATAGCCTCTTTTCTGTTTTATAGCTCAGAGTAGTTTTGATATCTGTATTGCTGATAGCTTCTGTATTATTGCTTTGAGCTTAATAATTTTTAGAAACTAATTATGTCCTGTGTTTTAGAATCATGCTTTGCAAATCTGGTACGGTATTTGCATAACTAATTTCTTTGAATAACTTGGTGTACTGGCTCATTATGGACAGAGAGATACAAATGGTCTGACGGCGGAAAACAGTGAGCTGAAACTACGATTGCAAACCATGGAGCAGCAGGTGCACCTTCAAGATGGTAAGGTTTCATTGGAATCTTTATGCATGTTATGTGCATTTCAAGTTGGTCCATTTTGATTTTTGTGTCAATGAATGCAATCTGTGTGTTTGGCAAGAAAGTCTGGCTAATGATTCATTAGAACTTGTGTTGTGCATTTTTTTTCCCTGACATTGATTTCCTAAAGAATTTATCCTGATTTGAGGAAGCTGTCTTGTAAGTCCTAGAGCCCCATGCAATTTTTTTCACTTTAAGTTTGATTGTTTAATCGTCCATTGCGCTTTTTGCTGTTATCATTTTCTTGGGTAGAGATTAAGGATCACAGCCAAGTAGTGAGGTGTAAGGGAGTTTTAACTGGAGGGGGTTATGGTTAATTGAGTTTTTAGAGTTGTCGGTTTGAGGCCAGCGATCGAGGAGTGGATCAAGATGGATCTCATATCCTGGCTACTTTTTAGTGGTGTTTAGAGGATTCCTATGCATGCTTTTGGCTCACGTGTGCCCGGCTAAATTTTTAGTGAGGTATCATAAAAATACGATTTGCAAGATGTGGATATACTTCCTTTGGGGGCACTAAAGCTCACATTGGGTGTTAAAATTAAACGGTTAGCTGCTTATTCTGTGGTCTCCTGGGCATGCTTACCAAGTAAGCTGGTAAAGAGGCTGATTCTCAAGTTAGAGATGGTTTGAGTGTTTTGGACTCCGTTCCTCATTGTAACTCAGTGAATGCTATATACTTCTTTTGCCAATATCAATTTATTTCATTTGATAAGTAAGTGAATTTTTACCCATTTCTTGTTCATCAATCAAATTTATGCATGCTCACCAAGTAAGCTGGTAAAGAGGCTGATTCTCAAGTTAGAGATGGTTTGAGTGTTTTGGACTCCGTTCCTCATTGTAACTCAGTGAATGCTATATACTTCTTTGGCCAATATCAATTTATTTCATTTGATAAGTAAGTGAATTTTTACCCATTTCTTGTTCATCAATCAAATTTATGCATGCTCACCAAGTAAGCTGGTAAAGAGGCTGATTCTCAAGTTAGAGATGGTTTGAGTGTTTTGGACTCTGTTCCTTATTGTAACTCAGTGAATGCCATATATACTTCTTTTGCCAATATCAATTTATTTCATTTGATAAGTAAGTATTTTTACCCATTTCTTGTTCATCAATCAAATTTATCATATAATATAAAGAAAATTGAAGAAATTTGGATGGCCTTTGAACTCCTTTTTGTCTATCAGCTTTGAACGATGCCCTAAGAGAGGAGGTGCAGCGTCTAAAGTTGGCAACAGGGCAGGCAATGTCAAATGGTGCACCACTGATGAACTTTGGCTCTTCTTTTGGGGGAAACCAACAGTTTTATCCCCATAACCAGTCTGTACACACTATGTTAGCTGCTCACCAGTTCCAACAACTCCACATCCATTCACAACATCAACATCAACAGCAACAGCAACAGCAGCCACAACAGCATCAACAACAACAAACTGTGGACCTGAGAAGCAAAGGAGCCATCTCTTCTCAAAACCAAAGAGAAAATATCTCAGAGTTCAACACTGGGTCCAAGGAATGATATCTGAGAGAAATGGAGGTTAGGCCAGTTACTCAACCAGCATTTTAGGAAAGTGTTCCCTGTTCTTACTAATTGCCTGACGGAAAAGTTTTGCTATGATTCAGTGGACTTTGGAACCTTTGTGGTTTTCCCGTCCACCGGATTATAGTATATTTGCTATATATTTTGACCTATTGTTCTTTTAATGATTGGTAGCCAATGGTTTTCGGACTTCATGCCAAAAACTTTGCTTATCTGCACCGATGTAGATCTTGTATGAGATGCATTCGGACGCGCATTCTAAGGATGGTAAATGGATTACCAGTCGAGTCATGTATCTATACCTCAAAATTGGCAGAAATGCAGTGATGTAGTTGGTCCTAAGTAGACTTCATTTGTTGGAAACTTCACTAATGTATGTTGCATATTGAATTGTACCCTAGTGTTGTAGTTGTGCTAAGTAGACATCATTTGTGGGAGACTTCACTTATGTATGTTACATATTGTAATTGTTCCCTTAATGTTGAAATCCATGGTCTTCAAGTGTGACTTTGTATTTCCTTTAGTGATATATATTTATTGGGTATGGTTTCCTTAAGGTTGCAATCTTGAACAATCCAATTAAGTCATACCTTTAAATTTGATCATAACATGTAAAATATTCTTAGGAGTATCTCAAAATCTATTTTCAAATCTACTTACAAAATTTGAAACTCCAAAAATAGTTAAAATCAAGTAGATCTATAAACATATGAAAATTTAAAAAATGGATGGTCTAGATAATGTGTTGTAAGACCACTATTTTTAGGACTCAAAAACCTTTTTTTGCTTTCATAATCATACATCTTGATATTGAGACCCTCAATTAGAGGGTTTTTCAATATTAAAATAATATTTTCCAATGGATATTTGACGTGCATTTGTAGTTCTACATTTTTAAGGTTGCGACCTTATATAAACTTTACTTACCCAAAAAAAACCTTATATAAACCTTTTCCATATTTATTTCCAGTTAGCCAGCATATGAGGCACAGATGATGATTCGTTTTTTTTTTTTGAAGTATGTAGGTCTCATTTGTATTTTATTTAGGGAAAGATGATGATTCGTTTTTTTTTTTTTTAAAGTATGTAGGTCTCATTTGTATTTTATTTAGGGAAAGGTTTCTATATTTTCTCTACAACATAGAAGATCTATGTTTCTCTTACGATCCAGCTGTCCAATTTTGATTGAGAGAGCCACTCACTGTTTGATCTTAGATCCGACATTTTAAAGTATCTTTTCATTGGAACGTAATTATAAAAAATATTAAAAATAATTTTTTGATAAAAATATATTAAAAATAATATTTTGATAAAAATATATAAAAATAATTTTTTGATAAAAAATATTTAAAATATTTTTTTGATAAAATATAATGACCAAAATACCTTTTAAAATTTTTAGGGTATTTTGGTCATTTCATTTATTGGAAATATTTTTTACTAGTGTGAGTTTAATACATGATTGGATGTCTAAAATTTGGTGTTATTTATAGAAAAAAAATTAATAGTTTATAAAAAAAAATTAAAAATAAAAAAGTGTAGAAACGTGACATTCCGATAGGGGCAATTTTAACCCTATTCAGAATGGATGGTTAAATGAAAGGGGGAAGTATATGAGTTTTATGTTGTAGAGAAAGCGTTGAAAGCTTGTCCTTTTATTTGTATTGGGTCCCACCCATCCTTACTCTGGTCTCTCTTTTCTTTTAGGTGGCCAGGAGATTTATTTTAAGGGTGAGTTGTATATAAAAAGCTTGTCCTTTTATTTGTATTGGGTCCCACCCATCCTTACTCTGGTCTCTCTTTTCTTTTAGGTGGCCAGGAGATTTATTTTAAGGGTGAGTTGTATATAAAGGTTGTCTATGGTTTCGAGTGTAAAAAATCTTGTGAAAGCTTAAAAACCTAATATCATCCTTAGTTATAAAATTTAAAATTAAAAAAATGACACAAATCAAGCAAATAAGAAATTTTAAAAATCTTGAAAATATACGGTTTCGATAACTTGTTATGAGATGCATTATTTTTTGGATTAAAAAATTATTTTTTTATCTTAAAGTTGAGATGATCAATTGGAGGGTACTCTAATGCAAAACATTTTCCTTGTAAGATTTTTGAGGTGTACTTTACTTCAACAGTACAAGGTTGCAACAGAAACTTTTTTTTTATTTTAATCTGTAAACTTTTTCTTTATTTTATTCTGTCTCCTACATACTGGAAGAAAAAGATTAATCGCTTACCTATTAATAGGATTAAGGCTGGCAACGAGCTGGACCCGGTCCAAGGCCCGAAACAACTTCAGCCTGGTCCGGCAAGGCCCGGCCCAAATATGTAACAGTAAAGCCACCCTGGCCCAAAATGGCCTGGCCTGGAAACCCACGGCCCGTCCCAGACCATTGGCAGCCCCAAGGATAAAAAGCAACCTGGTCTCTCTCTCTAGACATGAAGTGTTCCCTGCGCTTGTAAAAATATAGGTGGCCAGCGATTTATTTATAATCGTCACAAGAGCATGAGAAGACCATGCGTGCATATTTAGCTCTTTTTTTTTTTATTTGAGGTATGCCCCTTCGAATATGAGAGGAATAGTACAATTCTAAATATTATGAGTTCTTCCCTTTCTCGAAAGTTAGAACACGAGACAGAAAAAAGAACAGAATTTTTCCCTTTTCAAGAGATCGCAAAACGAAGAAGAGAGAGAGAGAGAGGAGAGAGGAGAGAGGGAGGGTGCAGCATTCATTGTGTCAGACGCACATTTGGAACCACACGCATCTGCTTTTGTTAGTTCTTCCGTGGCATGCTCATGCCAATTTTACTGGGCCTTCTCTCTCTTTATTTTTATTTTTATTTTCTGAATGTTAATTTTACAGGGACCTTCTTAGCAGATTAATTAAAAAACATGGGTAAACAGGTTTTTGTTAGGTTCTTGTTCGTTAAGGGTTTGGTGCAAATTTGCTGCGTTCAAATAAGCAGGTGATAGAAACAGACCCCACACAAGATTGGCTGGACTAGAGATTAAACACTTGCTACAAGTGTTCACCAAGAGGTGGGTCAGAAAATAGTATTATTCTCGATTAATGGTCCATGAAAACTGGGCCTTAGATCAAGGATATTTGTATATAGGGGTAAAATTAGCATAAAGCCCAAAGGTCGTTGTATTCTCTCCTTCTCAAGGTATAACAATTAGAAGAAAATATTTCAGATTGCATGCTCAGTTTAGCAAATATCATCACCTAAACAGGGACAACAAAGGAATGTCCTTCCCTCGGCCTGCCGTGCTACAAGAGATGATAATCTCCATGAAAATCCATAAAATACAATACACAGTTGTCTGAGGAGCATTTTCCGCCAATTTTCGACATTCAAGGTAAAAGAACTACGGCATGAGAAAAGGAAAAATAACTATCACTGAATCACAAGTATGAAAATCCATAAAAAATAGCTTCTGTTTTCCTCATCTCAGAGAGAGAGAGAGAGAGAGAGAGGGTCTTTTTTGACAAATCTTTACTTGTCACCTCCGACGAACACCAGGGTTTGCAACACGTGCCCCAGCTGGTGCCCCTTGGGTAGGTGCCTGACCATTGGCTTCCGGCTCTGCCATGTTCATGGCTTGACTGAAAGCGTTCATCACAATAAGCCCTAGTGGGATCATATACATCCACTGAAACACACAGACTTTTCATCGTGAATTTCTTCTCTTATGTTTCTTTGTTAAGCATTTAATGATAAATTCTATCTTTCGAGACAAATCAAATAGGTACCAAGCAGAGAAAACAATAACAATGATAACAATATAATAGCAGCAACGTTCAGACGAATAAGAACAACAACAACAGTAGTGCTATTGTGAGTAATGGTGATGATGATAATTGTTTTCTAGGATGAGAAAACCATGTAAGATGCTTTTTCTAATAGGTGGAACATCTGATTTTTAGAGTTCCGAACATTTTGAAACATGATATCTGAATTTGCTGGGTGCCTTTGAAACAATAAATAGGCCATGAAATGGGGATGTCTCAAGTATTTCATGAGCTTGCAACTTCAAAACATGGGGTAAACGAAATGCTCGTGTTTCTAGTCCCAAGTATTTCATGAGCTTGTAACTTCAAAACATGGGGTAACTGAAATGCTCGTGTTTCACTAATTGAGATCGACACAAAGATTAGCAGGCCCGTAAATTACGGGTATTTGACATAGTCTTGTCTCAACGCTTGCAAAGGCACCAGTTGAAATGCAGGTATTCCAAATACCCGAATTTTATTTTACAAGACATCCTTTTCTGATAAACAAGTAGCTTTGGCAAGGGATTTTGTTGTTATTCACCCCCAAGACAACTACAATGAGGCACAGATATCTGATTTCAAATTACTAAGAACTAGAAATCCCACCTCTTAAAAAAATCACATGACAGTTTTTTTCTTACTACAGTGATGATAGTAGCAATAAGAAACAAGAAAAATAGTAATCCATCAAAGAAAAAATAACAATAATAGCAGCACTATCAGTAGTGATGAAATTGATAGAAACTCACATATTTTGCCCAAAAGGACTTCTCCATGGGCTTTATGCCTTCACCCTCTCCATTCTCACCACCAAGAAGTTCCTCAGCAAAAGCTGGAGTCCTGCAAGCACATCACATTGTATATGTTTCATAGTAAAAGCATAAAAAACTGAGGATATAAAATGTATATCGAAAGTCCAAATAGTACAAGATTAACTCATTTGCAATACCTTGGTGCCTGCTCACTGTTCTTCAGCACAGTAAATGAATTAAACGACCACTTCTTTGGCTGCAGTTAATGCATGAAGTTCATTATAAGGAATTTAAAAGTGGAAGAAAAATGTAGTTCTGCTGCTATTTGGGATTAAATAAAAATGAGAAAATACTATTGGAGAGCTGGGAGTTCTCTGAAGGAAGACTGCATTCACCCATATCAAGGCAGTCGGAAGCCACACAAAATTAACAGAGAGAAACTCAGATGCACAAAGTCCATCCAGGTTAGGTAGATATAGCCCTAGCTAGACTTAGACTGTCGTACACTTCGTAGACAGAGCTACATTTGAGGACAGGAGGGAAAGACTCGAACTGCTACGCACATTATAGTTTAAACTAAACCAAATCATACCCCAATCCCTTCTGCACCCCTCAACTGAAGAAATCAGAATAACTCCTCATACAAGAAAAGACTGAACAACCTGATCCACCTAACTCCTCAAGCTTCATTCCCCTACCACGTCTTACCCATAAATCTATCCTGCTACCCTCCTCACAAGAACAAAACATGAAAATTTAATAAAGATGGAAAAGGAATAAGGACAAAAAATGTGAAAGTGGAGGAGAGAGATCCCAGCCAAATCATTTATACAAGCTACTCTGGGTACATTTTCCTATACCCTCCTAATACACATCTTTTAATGGACTTTCAGTGTCCCGTACTTACATTGGAAGGGGTGTCAACTGCCAAATAATTTTAATCTCAAATAGTTCAGTGTGAGGAACAAATCAGACATTATTAAGCTTACATAAGATGTATGATAATTCAAACCTCAATATCTTCATACAAGTAAATTCCTTTATATAGTATCACTCCAATTATTAGCCACAGAAAATTAGAAAGAACTGCCTCACGAGTAACAAGCCAAAGGCAAACTCACTTGTTTCATTGACCGAGGATATGGACATGCTCCTGTAGAACCATAATTAACAGCCAAAATTTTCACTCCATCCTGGAAGAGAGCATATTTACAGAAATTAGCAGAAATCCATCAACTTTAATCCAAGAATCCTGTAACTCAGACACACAGTCAACTTATCAGAAAGTCCATTCGATATTGGAGCATATAATAGACAATACAAGTCTGTGTACGAAGGATGGAAGAAAATCATCAGTATCTTCATACAATGAATATCATGAGTCATATATAAACATGTTGCAGCTGATTGATGGAACTGGCAAGGGGACAATTTTTCCTTCCTTAAGACAGTAATCCTCAGGATAAACTGAATAGGTAGGAGTTTTGGTGCTGCCAAGGTTAAAATCAGTTGAGAAAATTCACAAGTAACTCAAAAAACTTCCATTAGTACAATCTGCTGCCTAATGATGCTTCACTTTTGTAAATCATAAAACAACAACTACTAAAATCAGTCGAGAAAGTTCACATGTAACTAAAAAGCCTTCCATGTGTAAATCTGCTGCCTAATGGTGAGTAAATCATAAAACAACAACTACTACTACTACTACTACCACTGCTATATTGAAAATGATATCCACTCAAACAACACACAACCTCAAACCACTTGATTATAAAAGAAAGAAAATCATGAGGGTTTCCATATGCTTCCTCATCACATCATACCACATGAGAGAAAGCAAAACTAAATTGAACCAGTTTTAAGTGAAATGATGATTACATAATCAGCAGATTTAGATATCAGGGAACCTGATAAGATGAGGGTACACGTAATGCATACAAAGAAATAACATGCAAATCAAACATCTTGCTCTAAATAAATAAACCTCCCCAAAGCACAGAGTACTATTTGAATCTACAAGAAGATTGCAGTGACAATCCCTAAAAAGCTGGGGTTGCAAATTCATAATACCATGTGAATAACAAAATGTTCTTCCAAATCGTCCAGTGGCAGGCACCTCTAAAATAAAAAAAATAAAAGAAGTTAAGCAACCCTCATAAAAATATAGAAAGCTTATCTTTTTAAGAAGAAATATGTTGAATAAAAAATCTATGAACAAGTTAACGTGAAGAAATATACATTGATATTAGAATCTGTTGCAGAACCGGTAAGATTAACCAAAGTTCAAAGAAAACCATTACAAACAGAAACGCAGCGAAGCAAAAAATATCCTGAGGAACAATGAGACACTAACCCTAATCTGCTAATCATCTTCTTTTTGTCATTACATAAAATCATCTCAGTAATTTCCTAGATCAATGAAGAAAGGGAATTTACTCCCTTTTAGTTCTATAAACATCTATACATCATGCAATGGTTGCATTTGATTTTTGGAAGACAAGGCTTTGGAAGCTGCAATTTCCATAAGAAGAGAAAAGGAAGCTGCCATTCAACAAATTAATGCCATTTTGGAAGCCACAGGAAGAGCAGAAGCTTCCGAAAATAACCGTGCCACGTCGCATAATTAAACAAGGGAAATGCTACAGTTATGGAAGACACGGATTCTAAAGCCATGTTTTCTAAAAATCAAATGGGCCCTAATTTACCAACAAACATGGAAGACTACTATGCTTCCAACCCCCCACACCACCCTGACCCACCCTGATCTTTTTCTTCGAAAGATGTAACCACCATATTCTTTAGCATGCAAGAAAGTAACTTTCAAATTTTATAGCATGTCCAATATGGATGTCAAAAATAGCAATCTCCTTAATGATGATTTATGAATACTTTTCATCTTGGAACCTATTTACCATTTTTTCTAGCTCATTTTTGCGCTTTTGATAAGCCAGCTAATCATGATACTTTCTTTTGACTACTTGCGGTGCAACTATATGCTCACATTAAATCCCATGAATGAAAACATCCCAGACCCATACTAACTCCACCCTTTTCTCTACCAACATAACCCTTTAAACTCCACCCCTTTACTCACCCATAGAAAAAACTCACCCTCTAAACAATTTACAGTATCTTAATGAGATCCTAGAAATGGTAAAAACAATTACATGAACATGAGAAATGTCAAATCATTAACCAATATATAGAAATGTCAAATCCTAGAAATGTAAAAATAATTACATGAACATGAGAAATGTCAAATCATTAACCCTTTCCTCTTCCACATATAACTTTCTGGTTCTATAAAATCTTCTTACTTATTGTAGTCTGAGCACCCAACCCGTGGGATGCCATCCGTATATTAAGCTCCTTGTAATTTTTCTACCTTATATAAAAAGTCAACATATTTTTTTTTGAAAGTTAAAGAGTCAACATATTTCAAAAATATATATAGCATTTCATCAAAACATATAGTGTAGGCCCTATATGAGAGGCTACAAAACCATATGTACACAAGACAAACATTATCGGTCAAAAAGAGGCAAATCAACTTACAGCTTTAACTGATGAAATTGTGTATTCTCCATTAGAATTCAATATATTAGATGGCACCCTTATCCTATAGAACTCGTCATTTTTTAGCAACTCCTGCAAGGTAAAAAAATGGAATATGAAGCCTTAAGGAAGCCATGTAAAACTGCATAAAATAAGTACAGGGGTAAAGAGTACATTACTCTGAATATTTCCTTTTCTGTATCAGTCAAGGTATTCCTTGAAAGGCGGAGCTTGGTAAGGGTCTGGAACACAAAATTCAGAAATCACAAACCACATTCCATAAACAATACACAAAAAACAAGAAATTCAATAAAACATTCGTAAAAACCCACAAATGAAGTGAAAGAGAATGTCACGATCCATCATTCCAACAGAAACTCAATTACAATTTTTTCTATATTGTCAAGTAAATTACAAAGTTAAATCTACAAACAGAAACTCAACTACCATTATTTTTGTATTGTTGGGGAAATTACAAAGTTATTATGCTTCCAGTAAATTGTATAAATAAATAATTTGCCAAAACATGATAAGTTTATTTGAATGAGCAGTGAATACAAAGTAAGGTTGCCAGTGATTTCGTAAATTACTCTTTCCATTCCCTATTAAGCTGAAGAAACAAAATGGTTGCCACCTTATCTGGCTGATAAAACCAGGCCAATTTCACTCCTTATCTCTAATTTGGATACTAACCAATCCCAACATAAGAATCGAATATTTTTCAAGTCCATTAGAGAGAGAGAGAGAGAGAGAGAGAGAGAGAGAGAGATTCCTGTGCAACTCTATCATATTGACGCTCACGTTGTACTTAAAGAATATGAGAGAGAGAGAGAGAGAGCTACTCCATTATACTGATAATCATGTTGTACAAAAAGAATATGAGAGAGAGAGAGAGCAGAAAACCAAAGGAAGCAAATCAATTCGATCACGAAACCTGAACCAGAGATCTATGAGAGCAAACCACCTGGCGACCATGAGGCGAGGTCTTCAATCTTGCAGTGAAGAGACCCGCAGGCAAGAACTCTCCATCTCCAAAGGCGTGTTCTAGGGAAAACTGGACCTTCGAATCAGAAGAAGAAGCTGACGAAGATTCGAAGTCCCTCCCTCTCTTGGAAGGCCTCATCGGTTGCAGGTATTCGAGATCAGAGAGCTTCGATTTCCCCGAAGAAACGAATTCATCATCATCTAATAAGAGTTCATCGGACTCAAAACCCACTGATCTCGACACTGAGAAGAGAATGCAGAGGCAAAATATTGCAAACTTTCTCATCTCTCTAATACTCACCTCCTTTTCGCCTCCAGAATTTTAAGAAAGAACGAGAGATAGTGGCTTCAAACTTTAAAGAAAAAAAAGATGGAGGGCTTATATATAAATGTTGAACAATTGTTTCATGCGGGCTGGACGGCACTTCTACAACATGCGGTTTAGAGTATAAATAGGTAGTCCATCTAACCAACTGTTCAAATCTTTTTTTAATATAATTATTATTTTTAATTTTAATTTTTACATTTTTCATATTTATGAACTTAATGTCTTTTTTTAATATAATTATTATTTTTAATTTTTAATTTTTACATTTTTCATATTTATGAACTTAATGTTGGAGATGGACACGGTTTCTATGCGGCCAGCCTGCATATTGTAGAAATGTGAGCTTGGCAAAAAATATATTTTTTTAAATATAATTTGATCCTAATTTTTATATCAGATATAATTTTTAATATGAAGATCATGAATATGAATTTTTCTTTAACTAGAAATAATAATTATATTAAGAAAATATTTAGACCTTTAGTTACAATTGTTTTTTGATGGACCATCTATTTGCATCCCAGCATATTGTAGAAATGCGGTCTAGCCCACATGAAACAATTTTATGTTAAAGATTATATATTCTCTAAAAATTGGGATTGTCCATAAATGTTAGGTCACCAATGTGTCAAATGTGTAAGGAATAGGAGTTAAGAAAAAAATGAAAAAAATCCGAACTGAAATATTTTTAAGAGCACGGTGGCTTTCTCTCTCTTAATTTGCTCTTATTATTCTTGTAAGAGACGGACAATTTATCTTTTTTACATAGAGATCACAATCACTTGTAAATTTTAAAATGGGTGGTTGTAAGAATATTATTGAAGGAAAATATTTATATAAGGTTGTAACCTTAAAACGTAGAATTAAAGATACACTTCAAAAATCCATCGAAAATGTTGTTTTAATGTTGAAAATCCTCTAATTAATCATCTCAACATCGGGATGTATTAATTTTTTGAAAAGAGAATACAAACCATAAACTTCAACAGGGGCTCAAGCAGTACTACCTACCACCATAGCCCAAGCCCCATTCTCAATCTCTTTGATCTACGTATATTAAGCCCAAGCCCCATTCTCAATCTCTATGATGCTCCGCAGAAAATGTAATTTGGGATTTTTTGAGGGAAAATTATTTTTTTAAAAAAAATGGATACATGAGAGTTAACTTTTCAAGAAGAGCAGGTATGGCATGCTTTCGTGGGCACACACCGTATATTTACTCGTATATTTCTTATTTCCTTTAATAAAAGAGTTGCTTTCGAGGATTTTATTATTTTAAATTTTGGGATCTACTTAAGAATCAAATCATAACTATTTAAAAGAAAAAAGATTCTACGTCCATAAATACTTAGACTTAACCTAGAGTGAATGAAGAAATACTCAGGCAAGATCTTCCGACTTGGGCATGGGCTTGAGTGATTAGCCATTTGCATTAGCAACGTTACATCTCAAGTTCGATTTCTACTATTGAACTATCAAAAATAAAACTTTTCAAAGTTTTAAGAAAAAGCTATTCTGCCTCTACCACCACACCTTTTGGATGGGATAATAAGGCCCCTATGTAAATCAAAATATAAAAAGGCTATTCAAGAGAAATGTGGGTAGTAAAAAGTAAAAAACACCTTTATTCCATGGTGTCTTTCATGCTTTCATAAGTAACATAATATGGATATTTTGTATACATGTATTTCGGGTATATTTTCTTTTAGCTCCCAAACTTGAAGCATGGGTGATCGAATGAACTGTACCTAAAGTTTGCTAGAGATAGGAAGTAACCTTCAGAGAGATACATGGATCCCAGTGTTTCCTAGAGAGAGGAGTTTATAGAAAGAGTTAACCAGATCTTAAAGAGAAATAGGTGTTTACTTGAGTTAGAGATGGGACTAAATTTCAGAAAATGGAGAGTGATTGCCTTGTTTGGGTATGCCATTTTAGAAGTTCTTGGTTTTTCCCAAAATTGTTGTTTAACTTTGGCCACTACAAAATGTTACAATCATCTCTAACTCTAAGATGTGAAATCTAACTTCGTCCGTACAAAAATGTTACAATCATCTCTAATTGTTAGATGTACAACCGGATAATCAAGGGCACTTACCACTTATTGTGTACAAAATCTATGAAAGTTTTATGAGAAATAAAAATATATATATATACGATAAAACCATTTATTTATTGTACAAAGACGTCACAATAACCCTTGGTCATTAAATGCAAAATAAAGTGATTAAAGGTGTTTTTAACTACGTTCAAAGTTTCAAAATAATATTTTTCTCATCTTGTGACATCCCAAGCCGTTTGATTTCTCAGCTATCAGCTACAAGTATTTTTTTCTTTCTTGTACTAAATATAAATGGTCTAATAACATACAATGTAAACGAAAAACCCTAACTGGTTCAATTTTATATCATATAGCTTGGAAGCACTAGTGACCTTTAAGGACGAAAGATAACAGTCTCATTGTAATGTCTACTACCTTTATAGTTGAAGTTATATACATTTTCCCTTTCTTAAGTGAGGACTTTTCCACCGAGTACAGTTACATTCTTTCAACAAAGCCCTCTTCTTTATTCTCTCCATCACGAAACGGTAACTAATGTCGGAAAAAAACGGGGAGTTCCAAACCTCAAAATGGCACTGTAAAATTAAAACCCAACTTGAAAGAACATATACAACAGTGGGAAACTTGTTATGGCCAGATTTTTCATGACTCCAGAATTTGAAGCTTAAAAGATGGTACAAATATAGCAGATATGTGACTTGGGCAATCCAAAGTTGTTAGTGTTGCAAAATGAACCAAAATTAGAGATTGATATCCATTTTTTCAACATCTATGATCCTCAAGGTGGATATGAACGATTGGCAGGTTTTGTGGCAATGCAACTGCATTTTTCAGAAGAAAAAAGGGAAAAAAATTTTCTACATGATAGTGTATCCTGGCCCTCCCCCTCCTTCAGGTACATTCCATTCTATATTCTGTTTAGGGTCTTTGATATCACATGCCTGAAAAATGAATCATTCAATAAATCAATAAACTAGGCCATCACAAATGCTCAGGCAATAAATTCACTAACAGGTAGCAAAAAGGCAAAAAAAGGGAGGGAGGGAGGGAGGGAGGGAGGGAGGGAAAGCGGGGAGAGAGAGACTTGAATGAAAAAAGGTTTTATTTTTGCTACCTTATGGACAGAGGCTAACTTTCATTATCTAAACAGAACACACACACGCATATTTCTGACATCTCTTTTGGATTATAGTTTATGAAAACTGGATGATGAAGCAAAAAAAGAAAACATAACAAGGGAATGAGATAATATGCATCAAATAAAGAAAGAAAAACTTATGAAATTTTCTAGTAAATAGTCAAAAACAACCATGGCTTTCATAGTGAACCCAAGGTTTCAATCTTTACCTTACAATGGAGACAATTTTGAGCATTAATTTGCAGTTTCATGCAGCCTTTCTCATCTGCTACATATCTGAGGGTTCCGAGCAAAACAATACACCAATTGTAAATTACAGCAAGCGTAAAGAGTAAATATTTTGAAGGTATTGTATACTATAAGATCATATCTTTTGCTACAAAAAAGTCGCAATCACCCAAAACCATCAGATGTGACATTGTACAGCTGGAGACTTTATCATTTCTCAGCACAAAGTCTGAACAAAGTTTCTCAAACTTTTGAGTGTAGTCAGTGGCACACCTCCAGCCAATGGATTTCACATTCGACAGCTCAGGATTATTGTAACCTTGTTGTACCAAAGGTAAAGGTAAACAATCTTATTTTATGCTTTGTATTACGACATCATATAAACAAAATGTAACTAATTTCTTCCTAAGAGAGAGATAAAATATGCAGATTCAAGCTTTGGTGTCTGCTATCTTTAAATTATATGACATGGGTATCAGTTGTATTACTCGTATACACGAGCAGGGCAGTATCGTGACTCAGGTCCGGCATACTGAGGCAGATTTACAAGTTGTGGTATGGATGGATCCTTCAGGCGGAGATGAACAGGCTGGTCATGATCATGGTTAGTGTTACTCCTGCATTGAAAAGAACATCTCTCTACCTTTAAAGATGGGTGGACTCTCCCTCTAAAGATGGGCAGACTCTCCCTCTCTCTCCCTCTCTCTCTCTCTCTCTCTCTCTCTCTCTCACCACACACACACACACACACAGAGAAAAGCAATATATTCATGTCAATAAATCATTCAACATAAGACCAAGCCTTTAGCAACCTGTATAGTGAGGTTAGCAAGTCAAATGACACCACGCCATCAGGTTTTGGGTAAACAATTGGCTTGTGAGCAGCAGCAACCTGCACTTGGAATAACACAGAGATGAGTTATTCCATCTCTGGCTATAAGTTCAACTACTACTACGACTACTACTCCTACCACCAATAATAATAATAATAATAAACAACTGATAATAACAATGACATGACTTTAATGTTGTGGGTCCTCACATAGGTGGCTTCATGATCAGGTTTTCCGTGCTTTAACGTAAGCGGCAACCTTCCCCTAAAAATATAACTGAACCCGAAACATAATAATACCATCCATTAAATTAATCTTGAGGCATCTGAAGTGACTGCAACTTTAAATGTATAAAAAGGAAAAGATTATAGAGATTAATTCAACTCAAACACTGGAAAGAAAGATCGATCTCAAGCAATGAAAAGGGCGCTCTTACTGTTCTAAAGCAGAAATAGCCAACCCAGGAATCAATCCATACTCGAAGGCCTAAAATTGTGGTGGAATAGTTTAATACCAATATTTTGTTGAGGAAAATGTAATGACTCAGAGAGAGAGTGTGTGTTACTCACTGGCCGGTAATTTCGAGCTCTATGAAGCTCTTCCCATACCCAAGACTTCCTCAATAGATCCCAATAAGTGTCCATCTCTGCTCCTCTATGAAACACATTAAATGCTGCTTCTGCTGCAAGCATTCCTGAACAAATGGAGATATCTAAGGTAAAAACCATGTAAATATTATATAAAATTCATTTCTCTTTGCATTTATGCTTAAAATGACAAAAACTATTAACATAAGAGACTATAATTCGCTTTTGAATGTCCAGTTTGCACAGTTTGAATTTGCTCCCACAATGTAGAAAAGCAAACCTGATTTCAAATTAGATTGTAATTCTGAGCAATAAATACCACAATAGTAATGGTAAGGTACAGGTGACAATCAGACAGATTTGCTCTGACAAGGTAGAAAAGAAAACCTGATTTCATAGCAGTATGAGATCCTTTTATTTTGGGGACATTTAGGAAGCCAGCTGAGCATCCGATGAGAGCTCCTCCAGGGAAGACGGGGTAAGGAATTGACTGTAATGCAATCAAGTTCATAAATTCCGAAATGAAATAAAAGGTATTTTGTAAAACCGGAAATCGAAATTTAAAGGATAATTCATAAATCACATGTCAAATAAAACATAGGTTTGTAACATAGAAAAGGGGAAGTGTACTATATAGTCCAGAGGGTATAGAAGGAAACCCATAGTTCAATGGGGTCAAGACTGTCCAGTAAAGTGGCAGCAAGAGAGAAAGAGAGCTACCATTTGGATCAAGCTCCTTTCTGGTGGCTCCCGCTCTCCATCATCCATGATGTCATCAGTCATGACCCTAATAGACTAATTTCCACCGGACTACAGTACTGATTCCTTATCAAATAAGAAGGGACACTTGCAAAATATGGAAGTATGACACATGAGATTGCTGGGTATGAATGGACCTGGAAGCCACCTTCATTAAGGGTGCGGGCACCATATTGGAGAACATTTCCACCTTCCAAAAGGGGCCTGATAGAAGGATGTTGCTTGAATTTCTGTATCATGAACATGGAAGCCAACCTTAGGAAGAAATACTTGCTTTATTCAGAGAAATTGTATAGAATTCTCATTAAAAAGGACAAGTATAGAATTCTCATTAAAAAGGACAAAGGATTGGTCCCATTTAATTGGCGGCGTTTACAAAGGGCAAAAAACATTTTTAAAAATGGTACGGAAAAGTTACCCCTGTAGAAAAAAAAGCCTATTTCACCAGATGGCACTATAGAAGACATTTTTTGAGGCTTCAGTCTAGGGAACAATAACAACGTACCAGAGTAGTGCTACTTATCCAGGGATAAAAAGAATCAGCATAGGATCCATACCTGAAATTCTTCATAAGGATTTAAGTAAGGATTTTGATAGTTCAAAGCAACAACCAAACCAATGGAAACCTGCATATCCATAATAATCAATTGATTAAGAAATGACTGAAGTGCACAACTGGGAGACTATAGTATGCTTAACAAAGTCAATTTGAAGATGGCAGAACTCCCAAAGAAGGAAAAAAAGAAAAACTCAACAGTATAGATATGAAACAATAGCCTAATGCCCCTAATTCCACAAGCTGTGCAAGTTAGGCATTAATTTATTGGAGTTCATTAGTAGTGAAAAAAAATATTTACATGTAAAAGGAATTTCTGAGGTACAAGAGATTTATTTTTATTTTTTTTTGGGGGTGGGCGTGGGGGGAGGGGGGAGGGGGGGGGTTTCAATTAGAAAGAGAGAAAAAGAATTATTACATAGAATGCTAACAATACAGAAGCAAGAAAAGTATAAACAAACTCCGTTTTTGTCTATTGAAAAAAACAAAAAATCTCTACAAACCTGTCTGTCCTTCATATGGTATAGAAAAGTCCCTCCATATGTCTTATGATCCAATGGCCATCCCAAAGTATGTAAGACAAGGCCGGGTTTATGCTTAGCATCATCAACTTCCCACACCTGTATAACATATATCTCAGTCTTCTACATTTAGTTTCTTTGCATGTTGTGAAAGGAAAAGTGCAGTGTTTGCCATTTAAAAATCAACATAAGATTGAGAAAAATAATCGCACCAACAACTTCCTATAAGACAAAATATTTAATATTGTCAGAAGGAAAATTAGCAGGGTCACAACCATACTTGCCTCCTTAATACCTAAAGCATAGGTTTGATTTTCTGCGTGGGCCTTCAACCGTAGCTTGTGATCTCTTATTATTTTCTGTCAATGAAAAGAACATAAAATGCTATTGAATAAACTGGGCCAATGTGTGTGTGAGAGAGAGAGAGAGAGGGAGAGTTCCCATAGCAAAGTAAACAATTGATTTCCACTACTCCACAATCCCTGTGACACACAGGTAGAACCAATGTGTGTGTGAGAGAGAGAGAGAGGGAGAGTTCCCATCGGAAAGTAAACAGACATAGAAAATATGGAAGAAAAGAACCCAAGCATGAGAGAAAGATACTCTCCCCAAAGGAAGAGGCATGCGAGCAAAAGAATTTGGTGAGAAGCCCAGTTGTTTTTATTAATTATTGTGGTTGTTGTTATGTGTGCCCACACCCGTGTGCATGTGTGCCTATGAGAGAGAGAGAGAGATTCCCCCAGAAAAAGGAAGAGAGGCATAGGAGAAAGGGAGGAAGTTGGCGAAAAAAAAGTGTAAAAATACAAGAAAAGGAGAGGGACATTTATGTTGAAAAGACTTGGATGAGAAGTTACAGGAAAAAAGATGGGGGAAAGAAAAATTCGGTATGTATCACCGACATCAGTCACTTCAGGGATACCTGTGATATAGAACCTCTACAGCCTTCAGCAAGAAGGGTAATCCGTCCTGCACCATCATTTCATATTTAAACTCCTTATTTCCTGCCATAATCTCATTCAGCTGAATAGCATAGGACTAAAATAAGGAAACTAAAAAATTCAAAACACATTTTCCAAGTTATAAAGAAGAAAGGAGAATGTGGATATGATGTCTGAAACACATCATGGCAAGTGCATGGAAAGATTGAAAGTAAGAACATTAAAATGCGACGATTAGATATGTCTAACACTAAAATTTAGGCCCGTTAGAGACTCATGTACTTGGGAATCATAACAACTTGCAAGGCAAGGGAACCATTGAAGCAATTTTTTCTTGAAAAATAAGAGCAGAGGAAAATTACAACCCGATTTGTCAAATAAGAATACCTGCCTTTTAGTTCCACTCCATGTTGGAAATTTTCCTTTTTTGAACCATCTCTCGCAACACCCATATCATTTGTCACAACTCCAACAACCCTATTATTGGCATCATATAGAATCTGCCAGATTATCAGAATATCTTTTTTTAAACAATAAAGAGATTTTTCTGGGTACCAATCAATACATGATAAATAAACCTACTTCACTAGCAGCAAAACCCGGGTATATTTCAACACCCAATTCTTCAGCCTTTGTTCCCATCCAGCGTACTAGCTGACTCAAACTGAAGCATTCATACAGAGAAAATAAGCAAGGTTACCACCAAATGCTAAAAAATAAGTAACACCAAATTTGTGCTCCAGTTTTTCTACAAGACAGTGTAGTATAATGCAATTCACTATGGCAAAAGCATACTCCGTTAAACCATGAATATTGGTCGAAATGATGGATAATGATGGAGAGAAAGTTCGACTCAGCGGAACACAACCGGACCCCTATGCCGGGTCTCCTCCATCACAATCCATTGTTTCATTGTATGTGATGACCCAATGGGCTGCAGACCCAATGGGCTGCAGTTTTCCATGGTGCACTTGATAAGAGCATATCCATGACATATAGTACTTACTCTTTTACCATAAAGCAAACAACCACAATTAGAGGAAATGAATTAAGTGAGAACTACACACCATGGTTTAGAAAATTACTTGTTTTGAGAGTTATATAATGCATTCAGTCAAACATAAGACAAATGTAAAGAAAATAATTGGAACACAGGCAAAAGGTTAAGTAAGCAACAAATTCTCAGAACTGAAATTAACAAGAAAAATCCATGGCCACCTTATCACATAATTCCCATGGTTATCAAATGGAGGAGGCAGTGAAAAAGCACGGTCTTGGGTAAGAAACCAAAACTTATCAGAAGAGACGGGTATTTCAATTGGAGCCTGCACATCATGAACAGAAATTAGCCTTTAATTGCAAGAAAACAGGTTGTCAGATCATGTACATAAAAGCCCTCTTATAAATTAAAGGGAAACAAAAACACTGCCAAAGCATCCAAAGCAGAGAAGAAATGGGGAGGCCTTTGCTGAATCTGCTAACCCAACACATACGTATGCGAAGAGACAAAAAAATGCCCCAGAAAACTAAAAATTTACAGAAAATGCAACCTGTTCTAAGTAACACGTGGAAAAACATAAAACTAACCAGATTAGTTTTAGTTATTCAAAAAAAAAAATGGACCACTCTTTCTAAAATCTTCCTCTTCCAATGGCAATGACAAGGGGGGCAATGGGCAGCAGAGAAAACACCCATAACCCCCTACAGCCCGTCCTCTATACCATTAATCTTAGAAATTTCCATACTATCCCATAGGAAAATGGAAGAGTGGGAATCTTTCTTGGTCAGTTTCCCTATTTGTTTCTGAATATTTTAAGAAATGAAGCATAGTCATAGTGAAAGTGTTTCCCAACACCTCACTCATTGATCATGAAGAACCATTGGCAGCAAAAATAATATAAGCAATTAAACTTTTGCTCATTTCTTGCATCTCCATGAGACATCCTTAATTCTCCATTTTCCTTCTCTTTTCACTAATATGCCGTTTTAAACAACACCCATATTTTAGGTTTTTGTATTTTCCATCTATCATACCCAATTGTTTTTGATAAATATTACCATTCCCATGTTTACAGTACTTGTATATATACCCACCGAGAGAAAGAAAGAGGTAGCAATGGAGGGGGTTATGTCCAACCCTGCTAGCCTTGCTGCTCAGCTTGATCCATCACCGAAGGATGAGATAAGGTTAAGGGTAGTCATTTTCTTAAGCTTCTGAAACTGGTGGCAGAGATATTCTCATAAATCTTTAAAAAACCAAAAACTTTTTAGGAAATGACAGCATTTCTATGGCTCTTTTTTTTTTTTAACAGTTCACTTCTGTAGCATGTTACATAATATAGAGAGATACGGAGAGAGTGATGATGAAGTCCAAATCGCAAAAAGCATACCCCATCCTCTTTCCATCTAGGTAGAAGTTCATTTAGAGCTCGTGGCTCAAAAACATTTCCAGATAATATATGAGCTCCTGCAAATCACAGGATACATAAACAACATAAGGAAGAGCAACAATCACTGGTCTCTCTGACTATAGTGATAGCAATCAATAATGCCTCAGCATTTAGAAATGGAGTAAACGCATACATAAGGAGACTATAAAAATCACCATAAGCATAAAATTATGGAGACTCCTCCTCACACATTGGTATGAACAAAAAGACTAATAAAATTTAACAAGGGAAGCAATACATAAATGACGAAGCTAAAACAGGTCTCGTTCATCGATATGATTTCCACTATCGTCGTATAATTGATGAATTCTTAAAGAAAGTGACTGATAAATAAGAGACTACTGATTTTTCGGTTGCTTGTATCCATTTCAAATTGGTTTACCATGCCACAAACCACAACTACTCGGAGGCTTGGTTGAGTATTCCATTCCTTAAAAGATGTGAAAAGGAGACAGCAGATAAAAGTCACAGAAGCTTTGAGACAATAAAAAACATATGACATTCCTAATCATGGGTTTCCAACATCAGCATGAATAAAAAGATCATTAAAATGATTTTCCAAGCAATATAATCAACATCCCCAATGGACAATAATTATAATTTTAATGCCTAAATATGAAAAAACAATAGGAAGAATTGAAAACCAGTCTAATTTCATCATTCAAAATCAAAACAAACCAGACTAACAGTAATTGTGTTGATTTGAATTTCCAGATGTTCAAGTTAGTAAGAATAACCATTATAGTGCTCATCAAATAAAACATCTGTAAACCCAGAGAGAGAGGGATGGAGGGAGAGAGAGAGAGAGAGAGAGGAGATGTAATGCAAATTAACTCACCCACTTCTGCACCTTTCTCCACAACACACACAGATAAATCAGTGTCACTCTCTTTACACAATTGCTTCAGTCTAATCGCCGCTGATAAACCAGCGGGCCCAGCACCAACCACTACAACATCAAATTCCAGTGACTCTCTGCTTGCTTCACTGGAAAACCTTCTGAAAAAACTGCTAAAACTGAAAACCCTAGAAAATCTAATCCCATTTTCGATGGTTTCATGCACCCCAAATGAAAGAGAAGAATTATCATGGATGCAACTCTGGAAATGGCGAAATTCATGATGTGGGTACCTTTGGATTTTGAGAGAGAGAGTACGTTTGAGCTTCTTGAGATGGGTAGATTTGGGGTAGAGAGAGAAGAATAATCGGTGCATGGTTTATTGAGGAGAGAGAAAAAGGTAGAATGAAAACTTGGGTCGCAATTTCTCAGTCCGACAGAGAGCTTATAAAGATTTGAGGAAGCAATCGCATTGAAGGAAATCATTTCCATGACAGACACTAATCAGGGAAATTATCAAAAAACTGTCCAGAACTCCAGACTAATTAATTTAAGGAAAAAAATTAAAAATTAAAAAAAACGATCTTTCTATTCAACTTACCCCGTAAGCTAGCTTTTTCTCTCGTTTTTTTCCTCGCAACCAACTCTCTGTAAACGTACCTTCGAAAAAGTTCATTTTTAGATAGAAATGCCTTTTTTTACACAAAAATCACTTTAGCCGGAGGTTAACTTTTGGACCCACTAGCGCATTGCCAAATTGCACCATCACATTTTCGGAGAGAACAAGTTCGGACCACCTAAAACAATTATCGAATCACCCTAAAATAATTATCGGATCGAATTGAGTACTGCTAGACCACCTTTTACATAGTGTTGGACCTTTATAATCCAGTAACATCTACCAGTGAACTGCCCTTTGCAACTACCAAACCATAGTGTTGGAGGTGAACTGCCTTGTGCAACTACCAAACCACATTTATGGAGCTTTGAAATCCAATAACATCTACTGTTGAATTGCCCTTTATAACTACCAAACCACACTTTACACAGTATCGAATCGCTACTGTCGGACCACATTTACATGGTGTTGGATTTATGGTGGGATAAAGGAGAGAGAGGTGTGGATCAGAAAAAAAATAAGAGAGCGTAGCCTTTTTTTTTTTTTATTTGATTGGAGGTATTTATATAGAACATGTATTTTGAGGAAAAGAGTAGGAGAAAAAGTTAGATCGGAGGTAAATTGCATAAAAAGTATAATTTTGAGAGTTTTTTTGTAATTTTTCCTTAGTTTAATAATTTAGCATTTTGTCTATCTCAATAATTTGGAAAATTCCAAAAAATGTAATGAGTTGTAGCGGCTAAGATTTTAGAGTTTTCATTTGAGTTAGTTGCGGTTTGTATAAGGCTGAGGCACTAAACAATCAAAGTACGTGCATTTTCGAATAGTGGCGCAATAGATAATTTAAGAGCCAACAAAATTTATAATGGACTAAAAATTTATTTTCATCTCTAATTATAAAATTTAAAGATTCAAAATTAATATATATCGAATAGGTCTAACACTTAAAAATTGGAGGTCTAAAAACATTTCAAGATACACTATTTTTAATACTTGAAATATATTTTTTCTCATGTCCATACATCTTGAGGTCGAGATGATCGAATTGAAGGATTTTTTTACATCAAAACAACTTATTCTAATGAATTTTTAAGGTACACCTTAATTTGATGGTTTAGGGCCTCACCCTTATACAAGTGTTTTCCTTTTTATAAGCCAAAAGATATTCTAAGAGTACATTGTTCATTTACTTCCTCCCACAAAAGCCACCTAGGATTAGTTTAGGACCTCGGATTTTGGGAATATAATTTATTTATCACCTACATTAACCTCAATTAATTAATTATTAATTGTGCCCTCCATGCATTAAAAAAAATGTCTTAATATTGAATAGAAACCATCCAATTTTTAGTGGATCAGATCTAAGTCTTATAAAACTCAAACTTCAATTTTGTTTTTTTTTAGAATAATCATATAGTGATTCTCGTTACCAAGTAGGTCATCTTCTGAGGGAGTAAATTATGTTCTCAAGGGAGCATAGCTTATGTTCTTTTGATAAATAGATAAAATATTATTTAAATTATTATTATTATTTACGTATGGAAAATAGTTTGATAGGGCGGCAGCCTTATCAAAATAAATAAAACCTCACCTAATAACTCATAAAAAACTATAATTCAAGCATTCAAAAGTCTTTACATCGATCATTTCAACTTGAACATTATAGTTGTGAAAAAACATTAAGGTTTCAAACTATAAAAAAATGGTGTATGTTTTAACAAGGAAATTGTTTTAAATATGCTGGACCACATTTCTACATATGCAATCCATAAAGTATAAAGCATCCATCTTAAAGATAGATGCAAGTAGGTGTTCTATCTAAAAAATTTTCTTATTAGCATTATTATTTATAGTTTTTAAAATTTATTTATTTTCTCATGTTCACGATCTCCATGTCAGAAATTACATGTTCTTAAAAATTAAGTCTTAAAATCTATCTTATAAATAGATTTATTAAGAGGTCTGCATTTCTACATATGCAAACTTGGCCGCATAGAAATCGGGTCCTTTTAACAAATTATGTAGATTGTCTATTTCGTCCTAAAAATAACCATTCAAATATTCGCAAGATCTATAGAATTTGTTGAGTTTCAAAATTTATTATCAATGTTGAAAATTGATATTAGAGTCATCATGGAAATTTACACTGCATAAAATACTTTCTAGATGAGGATTTGAGGTAAGACTTTATTTGGTTTTCATAAAGCCTAGGACTTATAGAAACTTCATCCTTTACATCTACCTCTTATTATTTTCATGTTAGAATATATATATATATATATATATATATCCAAAAATTAAGTCCAACATCCACCTAAGAATCGGATCCAAGAGAGGGACCGCATATCTACATGGAGTCCTAGGAACCATAGAAGGAGATGGTGGTAATTGGAAGTTATCATGCGGGCAAGCCCGCGTATAAACGTTTACTCATAAAACAACTCAGAAACCATGCCTTTGTACTTAATTACTTTCTCAGTCCATATAAAGTCCAACCATCTTCAATTAACTCTGCAACTGTTTATACACCGGTCGCAAAGCAAGAAATCAGAAATCAGAAATCAAAGGTACAATTCCATCAACTAATTCTTGATCTCTCTGCAAAACCCCAATACTTCTACCTCTCTGTAAAACCCTAAAAAAAATTTCAACTAAGATTTCAAAGGCAATAACCTAGTCGATGAAGCTGAATCTTTTCTTTTGTCATGGTACGAAACCCTAATTTTGAAAACGCTCTCATAGAAAATTCTGGGTTATTAGTTCAAAAGAACTGAGGATTTCAGGTTAGAAAAAATTTCCTGCTGAAACTGTTTATGTAGCGTTTTCCTTTGATCAAATTGGTTAACTTGTATTTGTGAGAATAACAGTGGCCAGTCTTTGTAGATTTTTGTAGGTATTTTGGTTGATTTGTTTGGCTGATTCAAAACCCGAAAGATCGCCTGCTACAAGAAGATATCTTAATCTGAATCATTTGGGTAGAGAAAACTCATTTTAACTGAGAAGAAAGGCAAATTGATCGAAGAAAATGTGGGTTGCGTTCGAATACATTTCATCGTTGATTGGTTAGCTTTACATTTTGTTTGTTTAATCTATGGTTTGTTTACTTTTGTTAATGCGAGGGCTCTGACCTGATCCTGTTCAGCTGGATAAATGTGGCAAAAGGGGCCATCTTTGTAGGAAAAAGAAGAGATTCAGGTAGTGGATCAGCTGGGAAATAGTTTTTTGAGTAGTTAGGTGTCTTTATATTGTGATTCATCTTTGATAAGATTTAGATGATCAATTGCAATCAATATTGCGCTGGATTATATTTTGGGTTTATTAGACTGAGTTGATTTTTATGGAAAATTGAATTGTTATTTGGGGTGAAGTTTGGTGCTGGTAATTTAACACCAAGTTTTCATTTAGAGAAGGAACTAGAACTACATTATAAACCCAGTAATCTTGTAAAGCCTACTGCTGTTTGCGATTGTAACGATTTATTTTCTATTGGGTTTATTTGTGGGAAGATTTCAGAACGTTCAACTTGGTTATTTGGGAAAAGAACTTGGTACTCTCATGATGTCAGTGGGGCAAGCTAAATTCATATCTCAGAATTTTTTTGTTTTTTCCTGATTTTACTGGGTGAATATGTTCAGCGTGTTTCTGCATGGCAGATTTTATCTGAGCCATGGATAAGAAGTTTGCATTGTGAATAACGCAGAAGGCTATTAATGGGGCGACCTCTTTTCTATGAGATATTGCAGAAGCCTGCAACAAGTTGTATAATTGGAATATGCAGTGTAATATGGTTCTATATTCAGAAGAAAAACATTGGTTATTCCCATGTGGGGTTGAGTTATGAAGCAGCCAGAGAAGGGCAGTATTGGAGGCTCATCACCTCGGCCTTCTCACACATCAGCATCGTTCACCTGGTCTTCAACATAAGCGCCCTTTGGAGTCTTGGAATCATAGAGCAGTTGGGTCACATAGGCCTTGGCATTGAATTCTACATCCACTATACACTGGTGCTTATTGTTTTATCTGGGGTGCTAGTTTTAGTGGCTTACCATGTTCTCATCCGGAGATTTAATATCGAATACTTCAGAAGGGTCACGGCAGTTGGGTACTCATGTGTGGTGTTTGGGTGGATGACTATTCTTGCAGTCAAGCAGCCATCCTCAAAGCTTGAGCTTTTTGGGGTGCTTTCCTTGCCCATAAGCTTTGCCCCTTTTGAGTCTCTCATCTTCACCTCAATAATTGTTCCACAAGCAAGTTTTTTGGGTCACTTATCAGGAATTATTGTTGGATATATGATTGCGTGGGGTTTGATCCATGGCATGAGTAACTATTGGGCTGTTTCTATGCTTGGGTGGATTGCATTAGCATTCGTTTTCAGCTTGAAGCGATCGGGTACTTGTGACGTTCCATTTATTGAGATCGAGCCTGTAACGGATCCCTCACTCCCCACTGTGGGATTTCTTGCATCTGGTAACCCTAGAAGCTTACAGATGAATGCCCTTCCACTTGGAGGTACTGATCTTGTCTAGCCCATGTTCTCATTGTCTTGAGGATTTCAACAGGTTACTTTCCACAAGGATTTGGTGGTATCAGAGACTGAAATTATATTGAATCATCCAATTCTCATGCTGGGTTTGTCTTCTGATGGTATACTTCATCCTGTCATGTTTGTCAATCTGTGGAAGTTATTGTTTGAACAGGCTCTGGTTGAAGATTGTTTTAAAAATTTCATGTTGAACATTCCATAGTTAACACATTTTTTAATGAATTAGTCCATGTCATATGGCTAAAAGATGATGTCTGTGTGTATTGGAATCTGAATTTCTTCTCCTCTTTCTTATCTTTCTTGCGTAAATTTGAAGTTAATAAGGAAAACACTCAAGGCCTCATATACTTTTTTTTTGGTGTCTTATACTGCACATCTACTATTATTTTAATTCTTCGGAGATTAATTGTTGTATTTGTTGTCGAGCAAGCACTTACTACTTGCATGTGCTTTGCTGCAATTTGTGCTACAATAAATGGTAGTAAGCTTCTTTGGGCATATTGAAGGAGAATGGGCCTGCCTTTCATTGAATGAATTATCCATTCCGAGTTTAATATGTTGTTAACTATCAAAAAGGATAAGTTCATAACTCCATAGGTACTTTGTAGATATGCTTTATTTTAGAATACATGTAATATTTGCATTGACTTGTAAAACTTTAGTAATTTCTAGATCTGTATCCTTATGTGGCTTATGGCGCCAAGTGACCTCTGTTGATATTGTATGGAGTGATAAATTGGTGGCAGTAAAAGCTAGCTGCTGGCAAGTGCTTTTCACTGAAAAATAATAATACGTGTCTTTGAACATCACCCTCCCAAATAATAATAATAATAATAGTAATAATAATTTGTTTAAATAATAACTACTATTGTTCCTGTTGTTGTTGCAATTGTTGTTTGTTGTTATTACTGTCTTTTGATTGGGTGCTGTTGCATTAAATGGTCTATTTTAGCTGTTAAATTTTAATATACATGCAATTTCTAATGGGAAAGCCTTCCTGTGACCCTACCCACATATATAGGAAATGTGATCCTTGATCTCAGCCATCAGATCTGAGTAGATGGCTGAGTTGACTCGAGTCACAAGGTCACAAGCTGGCTCTTGAGCGTCAGATCTTGATTCGATGATGCAGAGTGTTTTATTTTTAGTCTTTATTCTATGAATCCTTTTACAGCAAAATTTGGGGCATACATACATCCAACAGGGGCTCACATGATAAATATATATATATATATATATACCCTGTGATGAAAAATTACCTGAATACCCCTGAAACTTTAAGGGGCCATTTTGGTAATTTATTTTCATGAGATTTTTTTTTTTGCACCCCAGGAAGGAGATGGGACGCCCCAATTTCAGCCAGAAAGGTTTTGTTAGGGAAAAAATAATCGTACAGTGGTTTGGCATGACATTGTGACGAGCAAACCGAGCTGTCGATTCAAATCGAACTGACTGATTGCCTATAATTTATGTGGTTGGGGGTCACACAGAAAGCTTTCGGATTTCTAATATATTATACACATTGAGTTATAACAAAATTACCTTATAACTGTAATTTCGTTATCCCGTATGTACTTTACTTGGTACTACTCCTATTTTTCATCTAAAAGAAAGAAAGATAAAATAAAAAGGTATCTATGAATGAAGCAGAGGGACTCTTTTGAGAACTGAGAACTATAGTGAATGGAATGAGACGATGGTTGATGGAAGACTGGTTCATGATCCTGCTGGAGATAAGTATTGGAAACAGGATGCAGGGTTTCGAAGGATGCAGAGTGCTGGAGTCATGATAAAGTCTAAATCATCAGGAGAAACTGGGTGACTCTTATCTTCTTAATTATTATTTGATAACTCGGTCCATTTCTAATTTGATGCCATTTTCTGTGAAATTTTATGTTTTTGGCCATTGTTCTGTTCTCCTTACTGGTTTCTTCAGAATATTATTTCTGGAATATATTTAAGGACAAAAAGAGTGCCCACTGATGATTATGGCTTCTGCCATGCTTTCATAGGACCTAGATACATCTTTGGTCATCTCTGCCAAATACTACGCTTGTTGTGAGTTTAATCAAATAGCAGTGCTTCTAAGGTTTAATTCGTTGTTGTTTGTTGATTTTTTAATATATTGTGAAAGACTATTAATTAAAAATAATGCCTTATTTCATTTTCCAAGTTTTTGCCTACTTCATTTGAACTTAAGATGCTTTTTTTTTTTTTGTAGAGTAATTTTAGTTCAAGATGCTGCATGCCATGTAATGATTCAGATTGCAAAAAAAAGGGAAAGCATAGAAAAGGGAGAAGAAAGAAAAAATCGGGTTTCATAATTTGTCTGTCGCTTTGTATGATATGTACAAAATGTGGGTTCTTGTGAAGATAAGGCATCATCATGCTTCATTCAACTTTATGATTGCACATGGTATTAGTGATATGTGAAAATTGAGAATTAAGTATGTTTTCATGTCTCTGCATATCTTTAGTTTAGACATCCTTATGAGTGTACAACTGCCGCTCAAGTTTTGGATTTCAACATTTAGTTCTAGCTCCAAAAAATTTAAGTGGCTTTGTGATCGTGCATTAGTATCTTTTACAAAACAAAGTATGGATTAATTTAGGCTGCATTTGCAATCAGTCATTGATTCAAAAAACCTCCAACGCCTAGGTGGGCTAGGGAGGCCTGGGCCAACGCGCCTAGGTGCAAAAATACCCAAAAATACCTATGGGTGGGGTATTTTTTATTCTTTTTTTGTTTGGGTTATAAAAAAGGAAAAAGTTTATATAGAGCCAAGGCTCTAAACAATCAAATTAGAGCCCACCTTAAAAATTTCACTAAAAGAGGTTATTTTGATGCTCAAATATCCTCAAATTGATCATCTCGACATCAAGATGCATGAACAGGAGAAAAAAAAAATAGATTTCAAGTTTTGGAAATAGTGCATCTTGCAATGCTTTTTTGGATCGTCAATTTTCAAGATTTTCAAGTTTTCATAGATTTGATCGATTTACACTAAGCTTTAAATTTTATAATTAGATATGAAAATATATTTTGAGGCTATCACAAATATTTTCAGTAGTAAAACCACATTTGTCGACACCATTTGAAGGTGTTTTCTATATTGATAATTTAGGACCTCCGCTCTATGCAAAATGCACCCTATAAAAAATGAATGAATAGGTATTTTTTATATAAAATCTGCACTTAAAATATAATTATTGGACACATCTCGTCCCCTTTTGAGCTTAGGCCGCAAGAACTGGGCGGCCTAGACCCTCCTGACCGCCTGGCGTTTTTTGGAGCACTGCAAGCAATCAGGAGCTACATTTTCTTAATAGACACTAGGTTCAGCCCTCCATTTTGTTAGTGCAGTAAATTTGAGAAGAAGCTGGGTGCTTACAAAACTGAAAAAGGGGCTTAAAAAAGCCGACTGGGGCCGATTTTTCTACACTCGAAGGTTTTTGAGAAGGTCAATGCTGGAAAATGGAAATTGTGGATTTACCGCATATTTATTCTTTTAACTCTTTAGAAACTGTGTCTTGATTGTCTTTTAGATAAACTAAGCTTATTGGAGAAATAGTCAAGATGGTCAGGAACACTAACAAACAAATGAGATCCAGATATTAGTGTTTTTTTAATACTGTTGTGCTGATACACAGAGCCTCTAGAGCTTGTGAACTTTAAATATCTTATGCAATGAAGAATATATTCATAGAATGTTGGGTCATCAGCAAACAATATATCTCTAGAATGAGTGTGGTGGAGATGAAGATGTTGAGATAAATGAGTAACAAGATGAACACATGAAATTCAAAATGAATACATTTGAAAAAAATTAGGCGTGGCATTAATAGGTAATAAGATAAGAAAGAGTAGACTTAGGTGGGCTGGCCATATGCGCCATAGATCTCGTACAACACCTGTTAGGAGGTGAGAGTTAGTTTAAGTATAAAGCTTGGTAGGAGGTGAGAGTTAGTTGAAGTATAAAGCTAAAAAAGTGCAAGGGGTTGAATCAAAAAGACATGTTTGGAAGTAATAAGAAAAGATGTAGAGACTTATAGCCTTACTGAGAGTATGACCGTTAATAGAGTAAAATGGCAGATCAGGATTCGTGTAGCCAACTATAATTAGTTAAAAAAAAGTTTTGACAATGATAATGATGTTATACAAAATGGATTTCTTTTTCTATCTTGACAAAACTGAAGAATACATTATTTTAAATTGTACAATCGCATAAACCAGCAATGCAACTTTGAATGTTGAGTGTAGACTGTCGAGCTACAAAGTGTTGGCCAATCTGGTTGATGATTTGTTTTTCCAAAACAAAAAGGTGAAATACGAAAGTTTGAAATAATAATAAAAAATTGAGAAATATGATAAGCTATTTTAATTTTCTAAATAAGAGCAGTGTACTGTGTTGAAAATTCCAAGTTCAAGTGGGCATTATACAGATTGTCCTCAGAGGGGTGAACTCCTTAGGGGCCCTTATCGTCCTTGCTGTGGAAAAACACAGTTGTTTGTGATTTTACGGCTGTAATTTATATTTGCTAATTATGTGAATTTTGTCTTATGAGGCTATCTTTCTGGACTTGACAGTATGAAGTCTACTGAAGACTGATTCAGCATGTGCAAATTGCAAACTCCATTTACACATCCATATGTCAGATCTTATGTATATCAAATTGAGAATAGTTCTCCAAATGGAAAACCTTTATATAAGGTTGCAACCCTATATTGTGCACCTCAAAAATATGCTAAAAAAGAGTGTTTCGAAGTTGAAGAACTTTTTAATTGAACATTTGGAACTCGAGATATATGGATATAAAAAAGCAATTGAATTTTAAGTTCAAAAAATTAGTGAATTTTAGGACAAGTTATCTGGGACGCTTATTTTTAACATTTTCAAGTGTTTATAGATCTATTTGATCTATAGCATTTTTGGATCTTTCAATTTTATAACTAAGGACAAATGCAAATTCTCAAAGCAAAATAAAGTTTCTGACACTAAAACTACATTCCAAACAAAATTGTGAAGTGAATCTTAATTCTGCAATATAAGGAGGCAGCCTTATGTAAACCTCACACGCCCTCCAAATTGGAGAAGTATTAAATGCATCAGGGGACATGGTTGTTGGACTGCATTCCCTAGTATTTCATACATCCATTGGAATCTATCCGCAACAACGCCAAAAAAATAAAAATAAAATAAAAAAAAGTACCAATTTTAATTTTCAAAATTTATTTATTTTGTTTTATGATCAACATGATTGATAGTTTCAGCTCTAAAAGTTTGGCACTCAAAATTCATCTTTAAGATGGATTCTGGAGGGAGAACACATATGAATGGCTTGGTTGACTCATAAAAACTGGATCCTTTCAAATTTATTGTCGCTAATGATATGTGAGCCGGGCTTTTGAGCCTTGGATGTTATGTTCTGATGTTCCACCCACCAAGTCATGCTATATTCAGAATTTTAGGTAGTGAATCTATTTTGATTAAAAAATATGTAGTTTGTGATTTTCTAAACAATGTTTGAAAACTTGTTGCTATGGGGAATGAGCCCATTTAAAGATGTCAAGGGAATTAAGATCAAGGGAAAGCAGACAATTTGGCACAAAAAGGTCACAATCCCTTTATAAGATGTGATGTGAAAATCATAGGCTGGGGATGTACGATTAATCATGCTTAGGTTTGGAAATTAATTTATTTCTACAATTTCCACAAGGAAATAGCGCACACTCTTATGTCTAATTTCACAATTGGTGGCTCGATATGAAAATTAACAGCCGCATTGTGTAAGATCTTCTAAAATTAAAATTTTATCATCATCAACTTCTAAAATTAAAATCTCATCATTATCATTCAAGCCTTATTCTAACGGTCTAAGATTGGCTAAGCTAAAATTAAAATCTACAATGAGAAAATTTGGAAGGCTTTTGCTTGGAAGATGAGGATGAGGAAATAGCAAATTTGTGTAAGATGAGGAAGTGTCTAAGATTTAGGCATGATGTGGCCGTTATTGGTTTATCATACCCTCTCTCTCTCTCATTTTGATGAGTCACTCTTATTCAGGGCTAGAGAACCCTGAACAAGGGGGATACTTCTTTAATTTGACCCAGGGTCTCCTAAGTGAGTCAAATTATTAATATGCATATACGGTACTTCTTTAATTTCAACCACAAAAGCTACTCTGGTCATTTGTATGAACCTCCTACGTGAATCAAATTCTTAAAATACCCATGCTTGTTCAATGGTCTGAAAAGAAACAATTTGAGATACAACAATATATACAAGAGTTATTCTTATCCTTCTTTTTTTTTGAAAAATTTCCCTTTTGTGTCTTATCCTTTTTTTTTTTTGGGAAAATTTCCCTTTTGTGTCCAGACTTTCTTGCTGTCAACCCAATCTTCTCCTTTCATTTTTTCCCCTATCCAAACCAAGGGTTTTGATGGTCAAAGAGGCAACACCATTGGTTTTGAAGGCATCAAGATGGTGGAACTTCTGTTCCCCCAAATTATTGCACAACACTCATCTATCTCTCTCTTAGAACTATGATTTCCCCCTTTCTCTAATAAATTTGACCCTTCTCTCTCCCTCTTAAGAAGCCGCGCCTTCCTTTTCTTCTTCTTCCTCCTCTCTCTCTCTCTCTCTCTCTCTCAAGTAAAGTACCATCCCTTTCTCTCTCTAGGCAAAGGCTCTATGTTGATGTTACGATCTAGCTGCAAAAAGCACAAAAGCCCCATTTCTATTCTACACAATCCACCAATTTCTCCCCTCTCTCATCTTATCTTAAGATAAGAAAGCAGTCTCATCGTATCCGCCCAAATTGTCAAACATTAATCCTTACGGTGCTTTCAGATCTTTTATCCATAAAAATCAGTACGAACATAGGCTCTCTTCGATGTAGAAAGGTAGATCGTAAGAAAAAGAAAAGAAAGACTAAGCATTTTGGGGTTGGGGGGTTCCCAACCTAGAAGTGAAGGCAAATCCATTGAGAATGGTTTGAAGGTGTACATGGTAGCTAGAAAGAATCTCTAGCCTGAAAATGAGGTACTCCATTGGGGCAGGCACATTGTTGCAAGAGCAGATAGAATGATGAAAGTGGTAAAAAGAAAGCTGGAGAGGGATAAAAGGGTAAAAATGTCAAAAAATCTGCTTGTTAAAAGGTCATTGTTGGGCTCATCAAATAAATAGTAATTAGGTTTCAATCTATAAAATGAACAATCCAAGAGTCTTATATATCATAATATAATATATTTAAAATACACATGATCATTCCCCTTTTTTAAGATATTCAAGGAAGTTTTAAGTGAAATGAAAATTAAAAGGTGAACCTCTAATTTTTAATTTGATTAAAATTTATATTTTTCCAATTTTTTTCCATGAGCACTTAAATTTACTATAAGGGATTTGTATACTATGATAACATTTCCCATTGTTGGGAGGTAAATTACTCCTAGCCATTAGATGTGAGATGGCTTGGGGTGCGTCACAAAGTTCTAAATATTTTTTTTGCACTTTAAATCTCATCAATGACAAAACCACCCAATTTAAAATCTAACAAACAATAACGATTAACCTCCTTGTACTAAAAATAAATAATCTCTTTATATACTTTTCCATAACTTAAATATATTTTGATTAATTTCCATTAAAAGTATTGAGCCCACATTACATATCATGCAAGGAGAATGTGGGTGGCAGCATATTACAATATTTCTATTCCAATAATCAACAAAACCAAGAAGATCAGTATTAATAGCTGTTCTGAGAACAAGGCAAGTATAAATAGCCACTCAATATTACTTGCAATATTTTTGTCCCAATTTACACATCAATGAATGGAAGGGAGAATAATGAACTAAATGGTCTCTCTCTCTCTCTCTCTCTCTCTCTCTCTCTCGCGTGTCAGAATCCACATGAATCTCTCTCTCTCTTGTGTCAGATAATCGACATGAACAATTTCCACCAACCAATCCATGATATTTACAATATTATGGTTTCTCATTTTGCAAGAAAACACCACCATGCGCAGTCTCACCATTTCATGAGTGGCATCCTTGTATCATCCTCCAGCCACAGCGAGTAGAGGGATCTTTCATAACTTGCCCTTGCCCAGTCTGAGGATATCCAACAGTTGATGTAAAGGATCCAATTATTAAATCGATATAAAAGAAAGCAGTATCAGACAACAATATGTGCTGGAATCAGTTTTTTGAAATCAGAACCGGCCTACCAAACTGGTACTCGGGCGGTTTCCTGAGGAAATTTTATATGGATGCAGTTTTTATAAGACCTAGACTTTGTGAAAACAAAGTATAGCCTCACGTTGAATACTCATCTGGAAAGTACTTTGGGCTTCAAATATCTCCATAATGACTCTCTCAAAATCAATTTTCAACATCAACTGTGAAATCGAAGGCTCAAAAAATGGTACAGATCTTGCAAATACATGAACACTTATTTTTGGGTGAAATGGATGGTCTAGATAATGTGTTACAATATGCACTGTTTTTAGGACTTGAAATCTTGAATTTTTTCACAACCATAATGCTCCAGGCCTAGATGATCGATTTGAAGGTCTTCTGATGCCAAATCTATGATTTTCTGATTTGAAGGTCTTCTGATGCCAAATCTATGATTTTCTTTGTACTGTTTTTTATAGGGACTATCAAAACGGTTTCCATTTTAAATAGAAACCAAAAATAATAATACAATAAATAAAACTGTAGGAACCGGGGGGGCTTTAGACCCGGACCGGTATCCACTAGTTCCAAGCTAGATCACCGTTCTCTAAAACACCACCTATAATCAATATCTATGAGTTTTCTTAAACATCTAGCTGGATAATATCATCCATGGATTCTTGGGTGGTCCATTCTGGACTAATCTATTCTCAGTTAAAGCAACGAACATGATGGAAATGGCTAATTCTCCGAAAATGGGTTTTTCCAATGGCATGACTCCCAATTTGAATGAGGGAGGTTGAGTTGAGAATTCAAAATTTGTCGCTTATATATATATATATATATATATATATATATATATATAGAGTAGAGAGAGAGAGAGAGAGAGAGTACTACTAACTAACTAACTATAGTAGTAGAAGAACGTAACTAACCAACTAACAACGAACGAACGGACGGAGGTACGTACGTACCAACTAACGTAACGTAAGTT